CGCGTAGACGCCGACGCCGACCTCCTCTTCATATGGCCATCGGAGTGCGGCATGCCATCGTTGTCCCCGAATCTACCACCAAACCACTGCACACTGCTGCAGACAAATTATGTTTAACATTTGGTGAGGTGGTTGAGGGGCCCGAGACTTCCCGCCCCACTGGCCCTGCGTGCCGCACGCTCTGGTGGCTGCTCGGGCCTCTGATTGCGGCCTGGACCCTTCGGGCTTGGCCGCGCACACGGTGTTCACACACAGGGTGCTGCACGGGTTGCTGGAATGCACTGGTTCGGGCCCGCGCGCCGGCATCGTTGCCTAACGTGTTCTTTCGGGGAAAGAGGGGCCCAGAGCGTCGCCTTGTCGAGGGCCCCGCGGAGACGCCAGAGCCTTCCTGGGCGGCAGCCTGGGGCCCCGAGTTCTGGCCCGCAAACCAGCTAGAAGGGAAGGGGACTCTCAGATCTCATTGTTTTGTCATCACGTCTCATCATCACATCAGGCACCCTGGCCCCGTTCCGGGCACGGCACGGAGGCCCTCACAGTTCGTTGTGGCCCGCGGGATGGTGAGGAAGGTGTGGTCGACAGCTCTGGCCGTGGTCTTCTCACGAGGTCGTGATCTGTTCATGGCGTCGGATCTCAGAGTACCTTCGGCATCGGTTGAGGCAAGAGTCGCGAGACTCGTGTCAGGCCCTCGGGACCACTTGGCGTGCTCAAGTCAGCGTCGAAGCTCTCCCCCTGATGCAGCTCGTGCAGGGGATCGGGAGGCGTCTGAAGAGCTGACTTCACGGCAGGTATCCAGGAAGCCAGGAACCTCGCCTCCATCCTTTTTCTCCCTCCATCGTCGTCGTCCTCCTGCACCCGCTCCTCCCAGCCCCTTCCACATCGTCCTCCACGGATAGTACACGGATGCGCGGGGCAGCAGAGGGTCCTGTCGTTTCGACCCGTCGGGCACACGCGATGGCCAATTACTCCGAACCGTCTCCCTTGAGATTCTCTCCTCCTCAGGTGGCAAGAGCAGAGTGCTAGAGCACTAGCTTTCAGTCTTACGCCAGCGGACGTCTGGGATCGCTGCGGGGAGCACCCAACTCGACTCCCCGGCTCCTCTTCCGCAGTTACACAATATGGCTACTGGTGCATATATGGCATAACCAGACCCAGTCAGGCCAGCTGGTAGCACCTCGCGTTTCCCCGTAGTTGATTAAGCACTGATCCTCCTCATCAGGGTCGTTTCTCGGCGCGCCAGTCGCTTCCACTAGTGAGTTGTTCGTGATAGGTTGGGCAATCGTGCCCTTTTCGCCACGAGACGAACCTGGGGCATTTTCGTATCAAGCGTAGGCCTGATCCTGTTCCTCCCCGCCCTCCTCCCCCTCCTCCCCTCTTCCATTCATGTGCTAATAGCTTTTAGTACTGGGGGCCCACCGTGCGACAGCAACAGCGCCCATGGGCTCCACATCCCGCCTGCCAGGCAGCGCGTCCACGGCCACCTCCCGCGCCGGGCTGAGTTTGGCCTTCGCCAGGTTGCCGCTCTCGGGGGCGGCCAAGAGGCGTGTGACGACTGGGGGGGGGAGATCGTGGCGGGGGCCATTATATCTCCGAGGTTTTCACGGCGCCTCTTCTTGTTTCAATGCGTCCCTGGCCCCGCCCTGGGCCGCGCACATGCCGCTGGCCCTGATTTGCGCCCCCCCATCCTGGACGCCCACCTCTTGGACGCACCCGACGCACATTCCCCGCAACGCAGGCCCGCACAGGCGCTGCCTCGGCGGGCTGCACCACGGTGGTGGCGCAAATGACGCCCAGGTCATCTTGGCGACACTAGCACCCGCCCAGCTCCGCCTCCACGCGCACCGCCCTCTTCTTCTGCGTCGACCACGCTGTTGAAGCAGAGCGGGAAGACCTGGTGAGTGCGGGCGTCCTCTGGTCCCCGCCACACACCTTGGGCCTCCTCCTCCTCCTCCTCCTCCTCCTCCTCCTCCTCCTCCTCCTCCTCCTCCTCCTCCTCCTCCTCCTCCTCCTCCTCCTCCCTCATCTTCACCTCTTCCTCCTGCTCACCCGGCACCTCCTCCTCCACCTCCTCCAATGTGAGGACCACAGCAACCGCCTTGTCCAATTCCTTGAGCCGGAACCGGAGGTCCTGAGCGAGTGCATTACACGCCTCCTCAAAGACGGAGCCAGCGCGCTGAGCACTGCTCCATCGAGGATGCGATTGATAGGTGTTTCGTGAACGATACCCCGACCGCCGTGGGCCTATCTGATGCGGGCCCTCACTCGGACCTGTTGCGCACTCACTTGTTGCTAGAGGCCTTCATCACGCAGCACGCGAGTAAATGCTGTGAATGGCTGGTGGTGGCGTGGCGTTCGCTGATACGTGCATGATTGAGATGCCGACTGCTAAGTCCGACGGGAGCCCGGAGGCTTGCTCTCAGTAAATTTCCGGTTGCGGTTCTATCGCTCACTTCTCACCATTCGTAGACAATCCCCTTCGCATTCGTCGCCCAGAAGCGTTGGATGCATGAAGTGATTTTTGTTACGAGACCAGAGTGGGCACAGCAGATTGTGAAGCAATTGTTCCGCACATCAGCAGCATCGTGATTGCTTGTTTTCATTATGAGAATTTCTCTATAGGCACGATTGTGGTTTGCCTCCAGCCAGGATAATTTCCTTGTGCTCTTACTGTATGAGGTTCCCATCCGTTCACCCAGCAATATAGCTACGCGTAGTTTGTGTTGTCACTCGAGGTATGATTTGTGCATTGTGATGCTCTTCATCTGGGGTCAGGAATGCCCTCTTGAAGTGTCACGGATTTGGTTATCTTGCCCCCGGACGGGCGTCGTCAGTTATTGTTATGGTCCGCCCTCCTCTCTGCGGCCAGTGTCCCTCCACCCCCTCCAATGTACACAGCTCCCCTCTTCTGCTTGCGCAGAACACGAGGGGGCGCGCTGGCTCCAGGTCCGCCACGACACACGTCGGCGGATAGAGGAAAGCGACCGCCAGGGGAAGGGATGGGCGGGAGGGGCAGGATGTCAGATATGGCGCGAGCGCACCTAGCTTGCCTCTCTCCTCCCTCCTCCCTCCCTCCCTCCCTCCCTCCCTCGTCATCACTTCTCTCGAGTCCACGGCGGGACAGGGCTCGGAGCGCTGGCCGGAATGGACCCCAAGGCGTGGCCGAAGCGCCCGTTCTCCGCGGAGTGTGGGGTCGCGGGGGCAGGGCGAGGTGGGCGGCTCTCTAAGAAAGCGCAGGGCTTCACGGAAGCCCATGGGAGCCTTGGGAGAAGAGGAGGAGGAGGAGGAGGAGGAGGAGGAGGAGGAGGAGGCCTTCGCGGAAGCCCATGGGAGCCCTCCTGCCCTCCGAGAAGCTCACCGCCCACCAACCACCCCAACCCAACCCAGAGGCCTCAATTTGCCCTCCATTTCCGGTGGAGGGGTGGTCGGGGAACATTATGAAAACACGTCTGGAACCAGCCCGTGCCTCCCAAAACCCGGAATTCACGTCTTCGGGCTGATTCACCCCCCTTTGGAGAGGGCCCCCAGAGGGCTCCAAAATGGCGCGGAAGGCCGGCACCCTGGGCCAGGTTCGCTTCTGGCAACCTCTGGCTCGGCGCGCCGCCAAGGCGGGAAACCTCGCACCACCCGCAGGGGCGCGAGGGCAGTATCGCTGCCCCCGCGGCCTGGGTCGGGGTGCAGTCCTTCCTCTCTGGCGAGCAGGGCGGCACGAGAGCGCGAGGATAAAGCCGCTCTGCGCGGCGCGGGGCGCGAGACGGGGCGGCGCGGATGCCAGCCAGCGTCAAGTCGGGCGTGTCCCTCTACAGGAGGAGTATTCAAAAAGTGTCTTGAAAAAATACTGTGGGGACGATGTTTTGAATGTTATTGGAACATTGTTGGAGTATCTCTTGACTATTTTTCATGTTTCGTCCAAAATCCCCCTGTAGGAGGGCGCGTCTGACCTAAAGCCAGCGCTCCCAGGTTCTGGGTTCGGCTGCACCCGAGAGAGTGACCCTTCGCCGGAGTGACCTCCGGTGCGCAGCCTTCGGTGGGCTGCGGAGGGCAATGGGGCGAACCTCCGAGCACGCGGGCCGCGACTGCCGCATCGCGCGCAGCGATCGACAAGCTCCTCCTCCTCCTCCTCCTCCTCCTCCTCCTCCTCCTTCTCCTCCTCCTCCTCCTCCTCCTCCTTCCTCCTCCTCCTCCGCCTTCTCCTCCTCCTCCTCCTCCTCCTCCTCCTCCTCCTCCTCCTCCTCCTCCTCCTCCTTCCTCCTTCCTCCTTCCTCCTTCCTCCTTCCTCCTTCCTCCTTCCTCCTTCCTCCTTCCTCCTTCCTCCTTCCTCCTTCCTCCTTCCTCCTCCTCCTCCTCCTCCTCCTCCTCCTCCTCCACCAGCGGTCACTCTTACCCAGGGCTCTTGCGTGCAGCCGATCTGGGTGCGCTGTCGGCGCTGGGGTCCCTGGCCAGCGTGGCCCTGGCAGGGGGTGGGACGTCGGGCGGGGCCGCGCGGGAGGGGAGAGGAAAGGAGAGAGCCCCACTCGTAATGTCCATTCGCTGGAGCACGTCGCGGCGAGACGAGGGGGGGGGTGGCCGGAGGGAGTCGCAGGCGCAGGGGGCAGAAGAGGAAATGCCAGGGACGGAGGGCGTGCAGAAGGACGGCGAAGGAGGTGAGCCTCGGCTCAGAAAGGACCTGCGCTGCCAGGTGAAGGGGCAGTCGGAGGCATGGAGGGCGGCAGCAGTGTGAGCACGGTGGGCGGCGGGCTGAAGCACGAGAGACAGCAGAAAGCTTCGGGGGGGGGGGAAGAGGGGGGAGCTGGGAGCCAAAGATGTGACCCACGAGGGAGCATCGCAGCATCAGCCTCCACGGCCCTCGTTGCGCGGCAGCTCCCTCGCCTCCGAAAGGATGCTTCCCGAAATGCGTCCCGAAGCAGGAGCAGAAGAAAGGCCCCCAAGGAGAAGGAGAAGGAGAAGAGCAAGAAGGAGAAGGAGAAAGAAAAGGAGAAGGAGAAGGAGAAGGAGAAGAACGACAGGCGCCCGCCCCCGGGGCTCGAACGCCGTTGACCGTCGTCTTGCAGATCCCAGATCCCATGACAGCCACCGCTGCTGCTGCAGCCTGTGCTTCGAAAGAGCTCGGCATTCCTCAGACAGTTCCCTTCAGGGCCCCAGCGAAAAGGTCTTGCACGACCTCGACCTCGGAAGAAGCACGGCCCGTTCCTTGATATACCCAGCTGCCTGCCGCAAACGCCGCCACCCTGCCAACGCAGCGTCGCAGCGTGAAAGAGGTTGAGGTAAAGACCCAACGCAGTTCAGCGCGCGATCTGAATTCGAGTGTATATTAACTAAACTCGACCTCGTTGCCTCGACTCTTGTGGAGCTGAGGGGACTCTCGGGGGCTTGTCGGGGCCTGCTTCGGGCGCTTTCAGGCCGTCCTGGAGCTGTCCTGGGCCGTCGTGGTGGCCTCTTGGGCTGTCTTAGGGCCCTCCCTGCCCGTCTCGAAGGCCTCGCGAAAGTCATTGAAAAATTGCGCGAAAATCATGCGAAAAATATTTGAAAATCCAAATTTGTTCGCTTCTTCTAGCCCTCCTGAACCACGAAAGGGCGGGAACGCGAAAATCATTGAAAGAACAAGTGAACATCCATGTGCGTTTGCTTCTTCAAGCCCTCCTGGATGGCCTCGTGAAGTCCTCTCGGGCTGTATCAGGGGCCTCTTAGGCCGTCTTGGGGCCATGTGGGACTGTCTTCAAGACATCTTGGACCAGCTCGGAGGCATCTTGAGGCCATCTTGGACCCTCTCAGTCAAAGAGGTCGCCGGAAAGCAGATCCGAAGGGAGTGCTGCTCAAACGACGAGTGCGACGGGGGCGCGGCCCTGGAAACACTTGAGAAACCGCACCAGACAGCAGAAGAGCATTCTGACATGCCCCCGCGTGCCGCTGGCACGGTGGCGGACCGAGAGCCGCCACGCGGCGTGGACATAAGCTTCTAGAGGTCCGCGCGTATTTCTTGGGCCAGCGCTGCACGCCCCTCCGCTTGCCCCCCTTGTGCGCCGGGGGACGGGGTCTGGCGCTGACCCAGGAAATCCGTGCGAACTCGTGCTCCCATACAGTCTGACTTCTGACTTCCAACTGGGGCGCCGCTTCGTTGTTGGCCCGCGCCCGCCTGGCAAGGCTTGCTTTCGTGTCCCAGGCCTGCGAGGCACGCACAGATGCGTGACCCGTCCGGGAACGTGAACTTCTCGAGCCGAGGACTTCTCACACGGGGCCGCGGGCGTGCATCCCGCCGTCATCCTTGCTTACGTACTTGCGGTGCGCACGTCCGGGACGCGGTCACGCGGCGTCTGCGGGCGCCTGCGTTGGCGCTCGTCGCTGCCCGAGGGGGTCGAGAGCCACACACACACACACACACACACCAGCTTGCCCTCCGGTAGCCCTCGCCATGCTCCTCCTTCTCCTCCTCCTCCTCCTCCTCCTCCTCCTCCTCATCATCATCATCATCATCACCCTCCTCTTCCTGCCCCCTCTCCCCCTCTTCCCCCTGCTGCCCCCCCTCCCCCTCCTCCTCCGCCGCCTTCCCCTGCTTTGGGCGCGCGAGATCATGCTAAGTCGTGCCGCGCGGTGGGGATCCCGAGGCCCAAGGACCCCCCCCCCAGCAGATCTCCCAGAACCGCACGGAATTCCCAGCGAATCCCCTAGAACCAGTCTTCTCCTTCTCGACAGGACTTGACCTTCTGGCCCCTCTCATCTCCTCCCCTCCACTTCCTGCTCCTCCTCCTCCTCCTCCTCCTCCTCCTCCTCCTCCTCCTCCTCCTCCTCCTCCTCCTCCTCCTCCTGCTCCTCACATCCTTCCTCTCCAGAAGCTCTAGCATCCCTTTTCTTGGCTTGGGTGGGGCCAAGAGAGACCCAGGGCCGTTTGGGGGTCCCCAAAAACCTCCTCCGCCGCCACCGTCCTCTTCTGCTAATCATCAGCCTAGTCCTCCTCTTCCTCGTTTATTGTTCCCCCTTGGTCATCTGGTCGCTCATTATCATCATCACCACCATCATCATTAGCATCATCATCACCACCAGCATCATCATCTGTCTCATCAGCATCAGCATCGTCATCCTCATATCATCAGCATCATCATAACCATCATACGAATAATCAGCATCATTCGCATTATCATTATCATCATCACCAGCAGCATCATCAACAAGAACAGCAGCAGCATGCCGCCATCCTCATCACCATCAGCAGCATCATCACCCTCACAAGCATCATCACAATCATCTGCATCATCATCATCATAAGCAGCATCATCATATGCATCATCGTGACCGTCGTCATCAAGGCATCATCATCATCATAAAGTCATCACCATCATCGTCATCAGCATCGTCATCCTCACCGTCATCGTCATCAACATCATCATCAGCATCATCGTCGTCACCGTCATCATCATCGTCATCAACGTCTTCATTAGCATCATCAACATCATCACCATCGTCATGTCATCATCGTCATCGTCATCAACATTATCATCACCATCAACATCATCAGCGTCCTCATCATTACCATCAGTATCGTCATCGTCATCGTCACCATCACCGTCGTCAGCATCCCGACCATCCCACTCATCTTGTCCTCCTCAGCGTTTCTTCATCCTCTCTCCTCCGTGTTCCTTGCTCGATCTCCTCTCCGTCAGGATCATCCTGCACACCCGCCTCCTCGCCCTTAAAGCCTCATCGTTCCCCATCCCTCCTCCTCCATCCCTTTTCCTTACATGAATAACTCGTCCCTGGCGCAACCCCAGACGTGTCGGTGGGGCAGGCCGGGCGCATCGCTTGAGACTTCCTCACCATGGGCTCTAAAGCTGGAAAATTGCAACAGTTTCATGGATGGAGGGCGGGTCCTTTTCAAAGTGTGGTTCTCACTTTAACGCCACACTCGTCTTGAAAGTTTGCAGCAGCTTCAAGGATGGACGACAGGTGGTTTTCACAATGTGGCTCTCGTCTCAGCGCCGCCCAGATTCGTTCTCAAAGTTTGCAGCCGCTTCAAACGTGGAGGGCGGTTACTTATCCAAATGTGGCTCCCGCCTTAGCGCCGCACACTTTCGTTTAAAATCATTGCAACAGTTTCGCGGATCCGAAGGGTTGAAGCCCAAGGACTGGTGTTCTGTGGAACGCTTTAGGACTGTCAGAACGCAATTGTCACGTTGATTCGCGGTGTTGTAGTCCCAGGGATGGCATTCTGGCACGATTCTGGGTTGTCACGGCGCAACAGTCACGTTGATTCACGGCTTTGAAGTTTCAGGAATTGCGTTCTAGGACGATTGCGTATTCTCAAACGGTCGCCGTCTTCCTATGGAACATTTCCCGCGACTGAAATGAATCATTGTAGGGACTCGTGAAGAGGGCACTTGGATGGGGGGTATTACAACATCTCTGGTGCGTCTTGGGCTTATACTGATTATCCTCCTCTTCCTCCTCATCATTCTCCTCCTCCTCCTCCCGCTCATTTCTCCCCTCCGCCTTCCCAGCGCGCGCGCTCCCGCGCACATGGGAGCACACGCGTGGGGGAGGAGAGGAGACATGAGGAGGAGGAGGAGGAGGAGAATGAGAGTAAGCATGAGCATGGTGAGAACGTTGATGCTGATTTTGTGAAGGAGAGTGGTGATCGTGATGGTGATGGTGCCAATGGTGACGGTGATGGTGGCAGTCATGGTAGCGATGATGGCGATCAGGAGCGAGGGGGAGCACGGAGAAGTGAGGGGGAGGAAGGGAGATAGAAAATAAGGAGGAGGAGGAAGAGAAAGGAGGAGGGATGAGGAGGGAGAAGGAGGAAGGAGGAGGAAGGAGGAGGAGGGAGGAGCAGGAGGAGGAACCAGGAGGAGGAGGAGGAGGAGAGGAGGAGGAGGAGGGGAGGAGGAGGAGGGAGGAGAAGGAGAGGAGGAGGAGGAGGAGGAGGAGGAGGAGGAGGAGGAGGAGGAGGGGGGGAGCGAGGAGTGTGAGAGAGAAGGCTGCATCTCCCGCTTCTGGGCGGGGCCCGCCCGCGCCAGTCCTGGAGGCTGGGGGCGGGGCCTGGCGCGGAGGGATCCCCGCAGACCTCGGCGGACTTCCGACGTCGTGCCTCTCTGTGCAGCCCAGGCCCTTGGCATCGCTCGGACGTGTGCATTTTTCTTTCGGCGAGGACCATCGAGGAGCATCCTTGATCAGTTGGCGAAAACCCACGCACGAAACCGAAAAAAGCACAGAGACTGGACGTCCGAGCGATGGCCAGGGCCTCCTCGCGCAAGGGGGGAACCACGACCCCAAAACTTTCGGTCAGCGGCCGCAGGAGAGTCCGGCGGCGGTCTGCAGCGGCGGGGCGCGCCAGTGCGCGTCGTTGTCGTCGTTGTCGTCGTCGCTGTCCGTCCGTCTGTCCGTCCGTCCGTCCGGGGCACGAGGGGGCGGGGGCGCGACGGGGCGCGAGGGTGCCTGAGCGGCCAGGGGGCCACGTCAGGCCGTGAAGGTCTCGGCGGGCGCGCCGAGGTGCCAGTCTGCCGTGCAGGGCGAGCACGAGGGCGGAGCTGCTACGGCGCAGAGCTTGCACCACTGGGACGATCACGGCGCAGGGTGTTCGGCCACGTGTCACGCCGGACAATACGCCTCTGGGTTGCCCCAAGTGGCCACACGCTGAAGCGGACTGCGTCTGCCTCGCCGCCGACGGAAAAAGGTGTTCGGCCACGTGTGGCACCCAGGGGCCCTTGCCAGTCCCAGGGGCCGTCAACAAAAGACACCGAGGACGGAAAGTTGTCCCAGGGACGGGGTCGGGTCGAGACCTCTAGGGGCCGACTCCGAGCGATTCACGTTGTCGGGTGCCTGGGTCCGGAGCTATCAGGCGATTGGCGACCCCCAAGAAAAGTGCAGGAGGTTTTTGTTTCCGAAACGACCAAATCCTGCCACACTCCCCCTCCTCCTCCCCCTCATCGATCAGAGAAGAAGGTGAGGTGGGTGGCAGGGGGTGACTCCCTGGTGCCTCTCTCTTCCTCCCCCTCCTCCTCCTCCTCCTCCTCCT